AACTCATGGAAAAAAGCATTACAAACATGGACACAGCATTGCTGCCAAGCACAGGGTAGACGACCCAGGCAGGTCAGGAATTGTGCACATTAATTTAAACCCTCCGGAAACTCTCTAAAGCAGCGGTTCTCAACCTTCCTAATGCTGTGGAATTGTGCACATTAATTTAAACCCTAAAGCAGCGGTTCTCAACCTTCCTAATGCTGCGGCCCTTTAATACAGTTCCTGTGGGTCGTGACCCACAGGTTGAGAACCGCTGTTCTAAAGGGATTTAAGCATCATGAATTTGGCTGGTATTAACAATTGGTTATCACTTACTGCTTTTCTATATTAATATTTTAATTTCAATTTACCACATATCAACTCCATTCCAAGGAAAATATCATTTCTATCTTAATACCATTGTGAATTATGTCAGAGACAAATATTTAATAAATGGTATCCATTTAGAATTGATTTTAGAGACTCTATGTTTACACCAGTGTTTTTAAAAATGCAGATTTTTAAAAGAAGGCTTTGTGACTGGTTCTCTTTTAGAGACCTTTTTCTTCATTCTGTCAAAACATTGATCATACATTTACTCAAAAGTGACTTCAAGTCCACCTGTCAGTGACTGTCATCTGGTAAAAAGTGACTTGTCTATTCATTTATTTAGACAAGGTCTTGCTCTGTTACCTGTGCATCAGAGCTGTGGCATCATAGCTCACTGCAACCTCAAGCTCCTGGGCTCCAGTGATCCTCCTGCATATCAGCCTCCCAAGTAGCTGGGACTACAGGTATACCCAAACACCATACCCAGATAATTTTTCTACTTTTTTAGAGATAGGGTCTTGCTATGTTGCCCAGGCTGGTCTGAAAGACCTGGCCTCCCACCTCGGCCTCCCAAAGTGCTGGGATTACAGGTGTGAGTCAATGCATTTGGCCTGTATTATTGAAAGACAGGATTGAGAGAAAGACCAACAAAACAGCTAATTTGTTCCCAAGGCATGTTTCATTTGACACTGACTGGGAGACACAGTCTCTGGAAATCTCTTCTCATTTTTGGTAATGCTAAGAAGCTGATTGCAACACCTTGGGAAGATCACCCAAAGGCCAGATTATCTGTTGCACATCTTTCTTTTGTTTACAATATCCTCCTGGCCCTCGCCCAGCTTTTCCATTCAGGAAAAGTTCTTGATTGCTATCACCAAGTTTCCTCATTATTTTGAAAAGAAATAAATCTCCTTAACACCATAGAGCCCGAACCTGGGAGATTGAGGACAGAATTTTGTTTACACGTGGTGGATGAAAACATTGTTTTTGGAGTATCTCGACAGATAAACCTAATCAAAAGCTGCACAAATGACCTTTATTTATGTCACTGATGTGACTTTAGTAATTGAGTAATGAGGGACAAATGTGCTTCTATCAGAGAAATTAAAACACAGATTAACCACTTAGAACTGCCCCCCCCCCCAAGAAACCATAAACGTGTAAAGCGTTAAGATGTCTAACTGTTGGGTGAAGTCACTCTCTCCCACCACTCTCCCCCACTGGGCTGTGTCTGGTGCTCTGGGATGCTGGCCAAGCCCCTCAGTTCTTGTGAAAGAGCCCAGGGTTGTACCACGCTTAGTGACCTCAACTTGGTATGTCCATTCATGTTTCAGCCCAATCACATTCAGAGTAATCCTTAGCACAGCCCTTATTTTCTCCTTTTATTTCTGTCTTCCTCACTCCCAAATCCCCATTCTAACTTGGGCTTGCCATCCGTGGGGAGCTGGTATAGTCTCTCCTGGTCACCTCCGCAGCAATGACACGCCAGGCATTGTGCTAAGCATGTGTTCAGGATGGACAAAAGAAACAAGGGTCCTGACTCACAGATCTTATGGTTAGTGGGGATATAGTCAGGCAGTAAGCAATTATAGTCACGCAATTACAGTAAAGCATGATGAAACTTAACAACAATTAAGAATTACAAGAGTATGTGTTTGCAAAGTAAACATTACCACAGTGCTCCCAAACACACAGAGACGTGGTTCAAGTAAACATTCATGGTAACAATAGCTACTATCACTGGCAGCTTGTTCAACTAGGACTTTTTGGTGTGTGCTAAGATTTATGTTTACATACATTGCCATATTCAGTCCTCAGAGAGGTAGATTTTATTTTATTTTATTATTATATATATAT